AGTTTCCTCGTTGGACAGGAAATGGTCAGGACCGAAGTGAATTATTTTTTGCTTCATCGAGTCGTTTAATTAGTGCACTTTTTCAATCACTTTTAAGATTTGAATGGATCAAGACCTACAAGTGTTTAATACTTACAACTAAATCGTCACACGTTTCGGCGTGATCTTCCTGTTTAGATTCCATTTCGAAATAAATGTTCTCCCGCCCGACCTCGATCTTAGTATCCATTATTGGGTGGTATGATTGTGCCGTTTGTCGCTTCTGGGGGCGAAACAAGCTTGGGCTGGCCAAAGAAATGCTGAAATTCGATGCGATATGATTATATGGTCATCACTGCATAATGAGAGAGCGAATATTGACTGGTGCGCAGGCCGTCTGAAAATAGGATAATGACAGGAAGTATTTGTTTCGACGTAAGTCTATAGATTGTGCAATAAAGGATGAACTGACCTTAAATGATGATGAAAGCATTATTAAACAAAATGATTATGCTGTCTTCGTATTGATCCAGGTTATCACTGTCGACCCCACACTCCAGTGTACAGTGAGATATCAAGGTAGAAGCAAATGAGGTACAGAGGGTTTCCTCTGGATGTTTTAGTCTTTATGGGCTGAACTCAAACCTAAATGAAAATTTCTTATCTTTAATGATCCACTGGTTTCGTAGAGGCCACCTTTGATTACTTTTGATGCTAAGGTAATTTGACAGGTGGCATGAAACATTTTCCGAAATAGCTACTTTTAATTTCAAACTAACGCTGTAAAGACATTGAGAAGGATGGGAAAGGAAATATTCAGAAACTCTTCCAAAGCAAAATACTGTAACCATTTTTTCAGCCGATGATTGTTTTCATAGTCCCATCAATCACATAAATCCTTATCTGTGGCACCACCCTTTTTTCCCTTTTTTAACATAATGCAATATTTGGAAATTTCAAATGCATTCAACTGTTTTCGCTCTCGAATTAAGCATTATTTGAGTGTCCGAAGCCGAGCTTTCCTTTTTCTTCAGGGGTTGGAGGGGGGAGATGGAGTATGTGTAAAATTCACCCAATCTATTCGACTCGGTTGGAAGAAGGGACACCATTTTTACCTCTTCATAAAGATTCTCAGTCCCAGAGGGTTTCACCGAGCATTGACCATCGCTCAAGGCTGTCAGCATTTCGACTACTATATTGTACAACTTCTGTCCTCACTGTTACTTTATTGTTACTTTATGAATTTGAATTATTAAAATATATAACACCTTATCTTCGTTCGGCTAAAGAACAGTATTTTGTTCCCTAAAGTGGCCATGATTCCCAAAAAATGTGTGAGCAGAGTAAATGATACCTTTAAATACTAGATGAAATACATACACAATACAGAAGAGAAGGCATGTTGTCAAGTTAAAACGTTAATTTCTTCAAATCAGGTTACCTTTTAGAGCAATATTTCCGACAGTTTTAACATATCAGTCGCTGAAGTCGCGGTGCTATCCACTTGTGGCTGCTAATAATCCTATTTAACTTACAAATACTTTTTTGTCCGTTTAGTACAAAATATGACGTAAAACAAAATATGTTTGGATGCTAGCCCAAGGGATTGAAGTCTACATTTAGCATTGGTTAAAAATATCAGTGCGGATTTAAATATGAGAAAGCAACAGTTCGTAGTAACGCTGAGAGAATTTCTGGGTAACATGACTACTAAGTTATACAAAACTTTCTTCCACTTCGATCCTTAACGCCATCTCGTTGAGACTCCTGATTTACTCCTATATATGTTCTCTTTAAGTAATAATTTGAATTTCTTATACTGAAAGTTGATGTAGCCAGGGACATTTTCTCGAAATCGGTTTCACGCAAGAAATTAATCATGATTAGATGATACACGTTTGTTATGGCAAGGGCGTAACCCGGCGGGTGGGGGGTTTGCCCTGGGG